CTTGTGAATCCGCCTTACGAATCACTGTGAATCCGGCAGCTCCAGAGTCTGACGGGTGCTATGACGTCACGGCCGGCTTCAAGAACACCACCCTTTCCTACATTCAAATTTAATAGATGGAAGAAGGAGGGAGGGGGGAAGAGGGAAGAGGGAGGGGAAAGAGGGGAAAGGAAGAGGGAGGGGAAAGGAGGAAGGAGGAAAGGAGGAAGGAGGGGAAGGAGGAGGAGGGGAAAGAGATAGAGGAGAAGGAGGAATTGGAAAGGTGGAAGGGAAGGGAAAGGAAAAGGGGATCTGATGGAAGAGGAGGGGGGAGGAGGAGGAGGAGGAGGGTGGTTTCAAGTGAAGAAGAAGAAGACGTACCTGAGTGAAGGAAGAAAATTCCTAAAACACACACACACACACACACACACACACACACGGGCTGGGTCTTATAGTGCACCACCAGTGACGCCATCACACCTGCACCCACAACAGGTTCAGGTTTCCCTTCACCCACGCTGACGAAGGGTGGGGAGGAGAGGATCTAAGGGGGTGTTGGGGGGGTTTTAAGGGGGGTGTGTGTACAAAGAAAGGGGCGGTATTGGGGCTCTGGTTCAAAGGGGAGATGCGTCAAGGGGGACAAACTAGTACCTGAACAAACTAGTACCTGAACAAACTAGTACCTGAACAAACTAGTACCTGAACAAACTAGTACCTGAACAAACTAGTACCTGAACAAACTAGTACCTGAACAATCTAGTACCTGAACAAACTAGTATCTGAACAAACTAGTACCTGAACAAACCAGTACCTGAACAAACTAGTACCTGAACAAACTAGTACCTGAACAAACTAGCACCTGAACAAACCAGTACCTGAATAAACTAGTACCTGAACAATCTAGTACCTGAACAAACTAGCACCTGAACAAACCAGTACCTGAATAAACTAGTACCTGAACAATCTAGTACCTGAACAAACTAGCACCTGAACAAACTAGTACCTGAATAAACTAGTACCTGAACAATCTAGTACCTGAACAAACTAGCACCTGAACAAACCAGTACCTGAACAAACTAGTACCTGAACAAATAAGTACCTGAACAAACTAGCACCTGAACAAACCAGTACCTGAATAAACTAGTACCTGAACAATCTAGTACCTGAACAAACTAGCATTCGAACAAAACTAGTACCCGAACAAACCAGGCGCACTCCGGAACAAACTAGCAATTCCGAACAAAACCAGTACCCGAACAAACTAGTACCTGAACAAAACTAGCATTCGAAATCAAACTAGTACCCGGAACAAAACTAGCATTCGAACAAACTAGTACCTGAACAAACTAGTACCTGAACAAACTAGTACCTGAACAAAATCAGGTACCTGAACAAACCAGTACCCGAACAAACTAGTACCTGAATAAACTAGTACCCAAAACAAACTAGTACCTGGAACAAACTAGTACCTGAATAAACCAGTACCTGAACAAACTAGTACTCTAAAACAAACTAGTACCCGAACAAACTAGTACCCGAACAAACTAGTACCTGAATAAACCAGTACCCGAACAAACTAGTACCTGAACAAACTAGCATCTGAACAAACCAGTACCCGAACAAACTAGTACCTGAACAAACTAGTATCTGAACAAAACCAGTATCTGGAACAAACTAGCCTGAACAAACTAGTACCCGAACAAACTAGTACCCGAACAAACTAGCACCTGAACAAACTAGTATCTGGAACAAACCAGTACCTGAAACAAACTAGGCACCTGAACAAACTAGTACCCTCAACAAACTAGTACCTCAACAAATCAGCACCTGAACAAACTAGTACCTGAACAAACTAGTACCTGAACAAACTAGTACCTGAACAAACTAGTACCTGAACAAACTAGTACCTGAACAAACTAGTACCTGAACAAACTAGTACCTGAACAAACTAGTACCTGAACAAACTAGTACCTGAACAATCTAGTACCTGAACAAACTAGTATCTGAACAAACTAGTACCTGAACAAACCAGTACCTGAACAAACTAGTACCTGAACAAACTAGTACCTGAACAAACTAGTACCTGAACAAACCAGTACCTGAATAAACCAGTACCTGAACAAACTAGTACCTGAACAAACTAGTACCTGAACAAACTAGTACCTGAACAAACTAGTACCTGAACAAACTAGTACCTGAACAAACTAGTACCTGAACTAGTAGCTGAAGGACTAGTTCCAGGGTAACACAGACAGCTAGAGAACCGGCACAATCCTCTCTCTCTCCCACGCCTCCACCCACACACATCGCAGCAACACCCTCCCCCCTCTTTCCTCCTCCTCTCCTCCCGCAGTAGCTCCCACCACCGGCTCCTCTCCCTCCTGCAGTAGCAACGCCCTCCTCCTCCCCCACCACCAGAATCGCCCACCTTCTCCCCCTCCTGGATATTTTTCTACCCCAACCTTCCCCACCGGCAGAACCGCATCCTTCCCCCTTCTCCTACTACCACCTTCTTCCCCACCTGCAGTAGCGCCCATCTTGCTCCTCCTCCCCACCTCCTCAATTCCCCAAGCACCTGCAGGAGCGACCCCGGGAGTACCCAGTTCTCGGTGCACTGTCTAGACTTACGCCCACTCCCAGAACGTGACGCCACCCCTCCACCATATCTCCCCACACACTGCATCTGCCCCCCCACACCACAACTCCCCAGGGTCCTCTCCTACACCGCACCTATTCTCCCCATCCTCATAACCCATATCTGTCCCCCACCCAACCCACCACATCTCCCCACACGCTGTATCTCTCCCCCACAAGACTCCCCACTGTCCTCCTCCCACACACTGCACCCAATGCACTGTATTCTACACACACGTTCACGTCACAATGTCACCAGAGCGCTTCAACAACTATGGTCTTTAAGTAACAATATTAATAATTTAACTAGTCGATCAACATTTAAAAAATACAAGATATAGATACCCGTTCCAATAAAAGCATACACCAGTTATATCAGTAGAGGCGGGATTTGTGATGACCAAATGCAACCTTAAAATATATGTAAATAAATAAATAATGTTATGGTCATCCTCTCAAGAACCTCCGTTTTCTTTGATAGCTCGTATGCATAGAGATTATTACACGCCTTTCTTGAAACTTAATACAGTATAATGCATTCAAACAAGTATATAAACATTGTTCTTAACGTTTTTACCACATACAAAAAAAAAACAATCATTAAATGAACATCCATATAAAATCAATTTACACATTAAAATTCGAAAATATAGCAATATAACACCATAAACCTAGGGTCGGCAGAACACATAAAAATCTATAGTATTTACAAACAACAAAACCCTCTGACCTTTATTCATAACAGTGCACCTACTACACCAGCCTTTAAAAACCCAGTAATTTTACTCTTCAATTATATTTCCCGCCAGAAGTATGACAAGATAATTAAAATCTTCCTCCACACCCGAGTTTCTCTTGGCCCGGCGGTACCTTCGTGACGTCATCAATATTGTTGTGGCGCGACCGGATGACAAAAGCGAACCCGAGTTATTATTATTATTATTATTATTATTATTATTATTATTATTATTATTATTATTATTATTTTGTTTGCTCTGATAATGAAAAAGAGAATATGATAAATAAATAAAGTAGAAGATGCAAATATATAAATAATAATAATAATAATAATAATAATAATAATAATAATAATAATAATAATAATAATACAGGATAAAAGTAGAAATAAAACAAAGGAAACAGAACAATAACAAAAACAAAGATAAACAAGAATGGATGGATAGATGGAGAGAACGAGAGAGAAATGAGATAAGAATAGTGAGACACAGTAAAGGGAGAAGAGACGGACAGGAGAAGGCTTGGATAAAAGAATAAAAGGTGAAAAGACGAAGTGGTTAAGGAGGGAGGATGGGAGGGAAAAGGTAGATAAAGAGTGGATAGAAGAATAAAAGAGGGCGAATAGTGGATAGAATGAGTGGATAGGAGAGAGATAAGGAAGGAGGAATAAGTGATTAAGGAAAATGAATGAAAGGAAGACGAAGCGGTGGATAGGAAGAATAGAGAGAGTGGATGAGACAAAAAAAAAATAACAGGTGGAGAGACAGAGTGGATGGGATGAATAGGAAGAATAGGTGGATAGGGAGAGTAGATAGGAAAGAGAGGAGTACTGTGGAAGGATAGGAGCGCTGCCGGTCAACTCTACCCGGCACTGACGTCATAGGCTAAAGCTGAACTGTAATATCCGAGAGGGGTGCCAGTGTCAGGGGGTGCCAGTGTCATGGGTACCAGTGTCATGGGTGCCAGTGTCATGGGTGCCAGTGTCAGGGGGTGCCAGTGTCAGGGGTGCCAGTGTCATAGGTGCCAGTGTCAGGGGTTGCCAGTGTCATGGGTGCCGTGTCAAGGAGTGCCAGTGTCAGGGGTGCCAGTGTCGGCAGGGCCGCCGTGTGGAAGTGTGGAAGTGTCAGGGTGCCAGTGTCAGCAGGTGCCAATCATGGAGTGCCAGTGTCATGGGTGCCAGTGTCATGGGTTCCAGTGTGTGGTGACAGTGTCATGGATGCCAGTGTCAGGGGTGCCAGTGTCAGGGGTGTCACTGACAGAGATGCCAGTATTAGGGGGTGCCAGCAACCTGTTGGGGTGAGGGTGCCACTGGGCCAAGAAGGAAGTGCCACCACAAGGACAGTAGTGCTGGTAGTGCCAGGTCATTAACAATAAAACAAGCCTTTGTTAACCCAGTCATTAAATTACCACTCATAATAACACTAATTAATTAATCTGTTTATTCATTCCTGATTTAGCGAGGACCTCCTGGTTACCTGAAGCTGGACATGACCTGAAAAACCTGGACATTGATGACCTGAACACATGACCTGAAGGAGGAAGGACCTAACTGAGGACCTGGTAAGACTTAAGACCTACCTGAACACATGACCTGAGGGAGAAAGGACCTACCCTTAGAACCTTTAGGACCTGTAGGACTTAGGACCTACCTGAAGACATGAAGTAGGGTATCCTGAAGCGCCCTGAGAGGACTCTGTCACGGAGGGCGGGGAGGGTGGCACCGTCGAAGGGCAGCGCTCCACACACCAGCACGTATAGCACAACACCCAGGCTCTGTAGGGGAGAGAGAGGTTCAGATACAGGGGCATACAGACAGACGGACAGACAGACAGACGGACAGACAGACAGACAGACGGACAAACAGACAGACGGACAGACAGACAGACAGACGGACAGACAGACGGACAGACAGACAGACAGACAAAGACAGACAGACAGACGGACAACCAGACAGAAGGACAGACGAACCAGACAGCAGACAGACAGACAGACAGACAGACAGACAGACAGACGGACAGACAGACAGACAGACGAGGACCAAACAGACGGGCAGACAGACAAAAAGATGAAGATAGATATATAGATAGAAATAAATATATAGACAGATAAAATAGACAGACAGACAGACGGACAGACAGACAGACGGACAAACAGACAGACGGACAGACAGACAGACGGACGGACAGACAGACGGACAGACAGACAGACAGACAAAAGATAGAGATAGATATATAGATAAATAGATATATAGACAGATAGAAACAGACAGACAGACAGACAGACAGACACAGACAGACAGACCACCACTGACCCAAATATCTATCTCAGGACCGATGTATTTCTTGCCCTCAAACACCTCAGGGGCAGCGTAAGGAGGGGACCCGCACCACGTGTTGAGGGTGTCCGCTGGTGTGTAGTAGTTACTGAAACCCCAGTCCGCTATCTTCATGTTCATGTTCACGTCCATCAGCAAGTTCTCCGCCTGTGATGAACAACGGAGGAAGAACAATTTAAGGGTTTGTAGAGATATGTGTTCAGTGGTATGTTCTCCGCCTACAATGAACACCTGAAGAACATTTAAGGGTTTGTAGAGTAGAGATATGTGTTCAGTGGTATGTTCTCCGCCTACAATGAACACCTGAAGAACATTTAAGGGTTTGTAGAGTAGAGATATGTGTTCAGTGGTATGTTCTCCGCCAACAATGAACACCTGGAGAACATTTAAGGGTTTGTAGAGTAGAGATATGAGTTCACTGACATGTTCTCCGCCTACAATGAACACCTGAAGAACAAATAAAGTATAAAGTACAAATTAAACTCTACGGTAACCGGACTCCGGATTTCATTTCCACTAACTTTAATTCAGAGGCGGCTTAAGAGAAGAATAATCCGCTAATATATACAAGTGATACCTCTATTTACCGGAATTTAAGGTTATAAAAAATCCGTTATATCGAGAGTATGTTAAATTTGAGACCTCTATTTAACGGACTTTAAGGTTATAAAAATTCAGTTAAATTGAGGGTCCGTTAAATTTTAAACCTCTATTTAACGGACTTTCAGGTTAAAAAATCCGTTATATCGAGGGTTCGTTAAATGTAAGACCTCTATTTAACGGACTTACACACTACGTTATTTGTGTTATCACTAATATACGCGAAGTTGTAACCAAGATAGCATGATTTACACATGTATGTATGTATGTATGTATGTATGTATGTATGTATGTATGTATGTATGTATGTATGTATGTATGTGAAAAGACAAACCTCATTAAGAAAAGAATGACAAAAAATTACGATATAAAACAATCACCGGCAGCTCAACCCAGGAGAGGTTGCCAACGGTACAATATATATTAGGTGCCTGAATCGCCTTCTTAGGAACAGGGTCTTGTGACAATGACTCTCTCTCTCTCTCTCTCTCTCTCTCTCTCTCTCTCTCTCTCTCTCTCTCTCTCCTTCTGAGGTGTAATCAACAGAGAGAGGAAAATAAAGTTGGGTTGGGATAGGTGTAGAATTTAATATATGACCTAATGAAAATACGGGGACCAGACTAGTCTATTTGTGGCCTAAGTTTTAAAATAGTAATGCCTGCCTTACCTGCCCCCCCCCCACCCCCCCTACACATACACACCTCCACGGCCGCGTGTGCACACCCACTCTCTCACTTACATACATTTGTACATCTGTCTAAGTGATACACACGAAGAGTTATGTGTATACTGATGGACGATTGTATTATATTTCAATGTGTGTGTGTGTGTGTGTGTATTTGCACACACACACACACCTACACCCCCGCCCCCTCACTCACACACCTACACACACACACACACACACACACACACACTATCTATAGCGCATTTTTTCCTTTAGTAATAACGTCATCTGATTCTTGTAATTGCTGCCAGTTGATTGCATTTCCGTAACACAAACTAATAATATAAATGATGATAATAATAATAATAATAATAAAATCAGTCGCACGTATAAAAACTACAAATATAAATACAAAGACAATACAAAAATATATATAAGCCCACAAACAACGCCTGTATTTACTCCTTATACCTGATACTATATCGTTCCCTAATCCCTCATACGTAACCCAACGGATATGAAATACGCGGAAAAAGCCCCTAATTATCTCCTCCCTTTACCCCCCTGACTCCCTTAAGTCCATAAAGGGAAGGGTGGGTGCAGGGGTGGGGGGGGGTGTTAAAGGGAGTATTTTAGGATAATTTCGGCCTCCAACTCAACTGTACCGGTCGATGCCTAACCTATCGACCAAAACATTCCCAGATCCAAGGAGATAATTGTGCCTTATTTCTTTTGATCTCAAGACAAAACAACTTAGCTATATTATACAGATTATACAAGATACAACGTTTTATTTTGTTAACGTAAGATAAAAAAATATAGCTACGGTATCTAGATTTTACAAGATATATGAGTTGTATTTTCCCCTTACGATAAAATAACTTAATTACATCATACAGTTTTTACAAGATTCTTACGTTTAATTGTTTTTTCCCTAAAGTTACGAATAAAAAACGTAGCTACAGTCTCAATGTAACTTCTGAATAACTTTAAACAGTCAGGTCTGTGTCAAGTGGGTAAGTTACAAGCGTTCTTAACCAGTTATATACGCTCTTAATCAGTTAGATGCTTTTTTTAACCAATCAAATAAGTACTTAAACAGTTATACCCGTTCTTAACCAGTTACATACGCTCTCAACCAATCAGACCCGTTCTTAACCCGTTAGTTATACTTTTAAGACCAGTTACTTACATTCTCACACCACCAGTTAGGATAAAGCTTTAACCCACACCTCTCTAAGATTCCCTCACCCTTCACCGAGACTATCAGGAGATGGAAAGTGACCCCCTAATCCTCCCTTAATCCCCTGACTTCCCTTAAGGTCATATATCCCTTAAATTGGAGGGTTGAAGAGAGTATTTTAACAGCCCTGATTATTTCTCCCTTTTCTCAATACATTTATTTACAAAGGGAGATTAAGGGTGTTGTAAGAATGTAGGAGGGTGTTAGTGTGTGAAGGAAGGGTGAAAGCAATTTTACACACAGATCAATATTTATCCGCGACTTTGGGAGACTCTGAGTCTTTACGTTATGAGAGAGAGAGAGAGAGAGAGAGAGAGAGAGAGAGAGAGAGAGAGAGAGAGAGAGAATGTGTGTGTGTTGTGAGGTTACGTAACAAGACACTGTAATTGGATTGTTAGGGGGTAGAGGGAGGGGAGGGTCAAGTGGAGAGGGGTGTAGAGGTGAGGGGGTATAGAGGTGAGGGGGTGTAGGGGTGGAGGTGTAGGGGTGGAGGTCCTCTTCCTGCATCGATCAAGGCTTAAATCTTTTGTCTACTCTAATATGCCTAAGACCTACAGCTCTGTCTACTATGTCTAAATCTATGTATTTGTCAATTATAATGTCTGATCTGTTAGAACATTATCGGGTGTCTGATGAACCTGTTATGTACGTACACAGTTTTGTATACATACAAGCATGCACATATACATTTTACACACACACACACACACACACATGAGCGTAATCAATGCTCAGCCACACAACTCAGATACCGCCCTGCACGCCCAGATATCGGCTCCTCTGACGTCACACACACATTCTTCTGACGTCATGACTTCTTCCATGACGTCATTAACGATCTAGCCACTCTACTGGCTAGTGGCGGTAGTGTCACGAGAGAATCGATGAGTCTCATTGGTAGAGATCTGTTGTAAAAGTGACGTCATAGCGTCCGTGGCATTTCATTGGTTCCTGAGGTATTATCAAGGTGATATAGGAAGAATCTGAGACTCACCTTAAAAAGAACTAATTAACCTGCCCCGATTTTTAATTATAATGTGTTTTTATTATTTCCAATTTTGTATTCCTTTTAAAAGAAATATTGAGCGAATCTTAATGATAATACATACATACATATACATACATACATACATACATATACATACATACATACATACATACATACACACAAAGCATATATACTAAACACAACCAAAGCATATTTATATTTTTCAACTTTACATAGACACGTCAATGAGGCTGAAACTATTATTATTAATATTATTATAAAAGGAAGCATTGCACTGTTATCATGAGGTCACACACACACACACACTACCTGCCGAGCTGACTCAACCTACCCTCACTGCCACAAAAGTCCCTAACACCCCACTCCCTAACACCCTAACACCCTCCTAACACCCCTCCCCTAACACCCCTCCCCTAACACCCCTCCCTAACACCCCCTCCCCTGTGCCCCCCTCCTGACACCCCCCTCCTGACACCCCTCCCCTCCACACCCTTGTTATAACCCCCCCCCCCATCCTCAGTCCTTGTCAAAACCCTTTCTCCCCCCCCTCAAGACCTTAGCCCCCCTGCTCCTCCCACCCCATCCTCAAGTCCTCACTTCACCCCTTTGTCTCTCTCCTTCCCCCTCCCCCCTCCTCCTCCCTCCTCCCTCCTCTCATTCCCGTGATGAGGGAAGAGGTGGAGGAAGAAAAAGAAAAAATGAAGAGAGAAAAGTCATGTGGGTGGAGTGTGTGTGTGTGTGTGTGTGTGTGTGTGTGTGTGTGTGTGCGTGCGATGCGTGGAGTGTGTGTGTGTGTGTGTGTGTGTGTGTGTGTGTGTGTGTGTGTGTGTGTGTGTGTGCGTGCGTGTGGGTGTTTGTGTGTGGGTGTTTGTGTGTAGGTGTGTGTGTGTGTGTGTGCGTGCGTGTGGGTGTTTGTGTGTAGGTGTGTGTGTGTGTGTGCGTGCGTGTGGGTGTTTGTGTGTGGGTGTTTGTGTGTAGGTGTGTGTGTGTAGGTGTGTGTGTGTGCTTAGTCACGGATATAAAACATATTTAAGTTACAATTAGATGTACAAAAATTGCCTCACATAAAAAATACACACACACACACACACACACACACACACACACACTACAAATGTTCAATACGTCACAAAAAATCATTCGTTCACAAGAAGAATCCATTACTACCGCCTTGTTACTGCGCCGCCCACACCTGCCCCAGTACACATGCCCAGTCCCTACCTTCCTCAGTACACATGCGCATTCCACACGCACACACACACACAGTGACGTCATGCATTTCTCGATGCCTAATTGGTGGGGCCTCCTCCGACCCTCTCTGACCGCCCTGACGTCACGCGATACTCACCTTCCTATTGGCGTACTGTTCCCCGCCCCTATCTGACCTCCTTGACGTCATAGCCTACTCGTCTCCTCATTGGTGAGTTGTTCCTCGACCCTCCCTGACCTCTTTGACGTCATATTCAGCTCGTTTCCTTATTGGTGGGTTCTTTTCTAGTCCCTTTGTGACCTTAATGACGTCATGAGGTACTCGCGTCTCCATTGGCCCAGGAGTTGAGTATCGTCGCCATCTGATTGGTGGGCTCCTCCTTTAACTTTTTGGGAAGGGGAGGGAGGGGAGGATGTAT